TTAAAAAAAATGTCTCTTGTATTCTATTCAAATATTTCTATCAATAACTTTTGGTAGTTTTAATGAGGTGGAACTGAAAAGGCTCATCTGAACAATAAGCCACTAAAAAACAAACATCTTGTAAATGCCCAAAGAGCTCACACAAGAGCCTGTTCACAAGGAAATAAAAATATGCACAGAAAAAATATGGAAAAGTTTAAAGAAAACTGGAGAAAAAAAAACAATGGTTAATGAATTTACAATTATGATAAGGAGAAATTTGCAAATTTTTAAACCACACTAATGGAACGGTTATAACTCAAATCACAGATATAACAAAACTAATTTTTATAAGACAAATCTCAGATAATTAGGAACAACATTTCTGTACTCATACTATCTATCAGATCAAAGTTCACCATTTAAGTACTATGAAATGTCACCTACATTTCCATATCAAAACTAATCTTGTAGAAAATATAATTTTAAAAAGGCTGTGTATGTTCCATCTTATGCTACAACTACCATCTATACAGTATTTCTCTGCATCCACTGCATTTTGACATATCCACACAGTACCTCCCATCAACTAACTTTACACCTTCAAACAGCAATATAGTGTTATTTCTCTAACCACTCTAATCTTTGCTTACAAAACACAGAATTATAGAAAAACCACACCTCAGACAATAGCATTACACTTACATGATTGCACAACAGAATAAAACACATTACTCAAACAATATGTGACATCCTTCAACAGCATAACAGTAACACAATCCACACCATATTTAAAAATAAACAAAATGCAACACTACATCAATAGACCTTCACACACTGCAGACATGATATATAAAATAACTAAACTAGCATCAGGTGCTCTCTAAACTACATGTCTATACTATACAACTTCCTGAAGTCACCACAAATCATACCTGCACCTGTTCATAATATAAATGTTAGTTCATTATTTATAAAGCAATGTCTACTAAAGAAAGTGCACAATTAATACCCCTCTTTATCATAAAATACATGGTCATAAAGGTGATCAATCTAAACATCCATTAGAATGAAATTATCATCAGTGATTTAAGCGATAATTATAATGTGATATTTCCTATATTGCACAACTTGCGGGTTCAATAATATCCCAACATACTATTCTGGGACCAGGAACACTTTTCAACTGTACCATAATTTAGATTAACTCTTTGAGTCCCAAGGAACGCATCATACGTTCATAGATTCCTACCTAGAAGCCCAATGAACGCATGATGCGCCGATTTTACGTCTCTTTTGATTACCTCTTGGGCCTGTGATGCTAAACCCCCTGGGACTCAAAGAGTTATTCATAATGAGAATACTAACCAAAGTTCAATGGTCAACTGGTCAACTCAAACACATACCTAACATTGTGGTTACTTTACAAACATGTCTCAAGTAGCTGTTCCTTGAGACCTTTCATTTAACCCTTAATAGATGCAAACAATTCTAGTAACCTTTCACTGCAGCTTACCCTTTTGCCACGGAAAAATCTTAAAACATGAACTTGTTCCCAATCTTTTAGCGCACAAAAACTGGGAAGCATTGCGAATGTTGTATGTGATATTTTATGGTACACTCGTTAACTATTCAGGCAGGCTTACACAGAGCAATTACTCAGCAGCACGCAAATTATGAGGAGAAAAGAGATAAGAATGCTTCAATATTGAACTTTGCCTGGAAGCTATCATGTTATTAAGGGCAAAAATAGGGCAGACATAACAAACTTTGCTTTTACAAATTCATAACACTGATGTGCCCTCAGCATATAGCTGTTAAGATTCAATACATAATCCAAGCATAACTATACTTCACACTTAACTGGACATAATTTGTATACCAACAATACAGTTATATAAAATAGATCACATTTCTTTTAACATTTATGAAAGCTGTTACACAAAATTCTCCCAGGCACAATATCTGTACAGTGGTATAATACAATAAGAAAAAGAAACAGATGTAGAAGTAAATACTGCTCAAACGAGATGACACACTTACAATAAAATAATCATGAGCGATTTACTAAAGATGATAAACTTACAGAGATGGCATCAGTGATTTAACAAATGAACAAACATACAACTGTGGCTGGTGGTCTGTTTAATATTTAAAATACCATCAGCTGATTCACAAAGACAACAAATTCAGCAGTAAGTATAATCTCAGCTTCCTAACAGGAAACAGTTATCAGTTTTTTATCAGTTATCTCTGTCATTATTTGGATGGTGGTAGCAGCTGCCCAAGTAGGAAAGGGGGGGGGGGGGGGGGGGGGGGGGGGGGGGGGGGGGGGGGAAGGGAGGGGGGTGTCAGGGGACTGACAATTAGAAAATCATAAATGTATTATCTTCACATTGGCCAAACATATACATCTTGTAAAAACAAAGAGACTGCCAGATTTCTTCAGCAAGATCTGACCAGCTGTGAGAAGTACAGTCGCACATGGCATAATAAATGGTACACACAAAGTATAACCTAGCACACATGGAGTGTTGTTTGGGACTAAACAAGTTAAAATATGGTCAGTCTTCTTTTTAAAACTAGTAACCTTTTAACAAAGATGACAACCATATAACAATTGACTAATCATTTTGACAAGAATGGCAACACTACATAAATACACTATTAGCTTATTAATATGTTAAGAAATGTGAAGCAAGGATGACAAAGTTACATTAATAAACTCATTATTTATAACATGGATGATAAAATTACAGATTCACCAACCAATTAATATAATATGCACATGACATATTGACGCAAATATGTCACATATTTAAACAGACATGACACAGTTACACTGACTGACTTTCACATTTATTGACACAATTAATCCGATTCACTTCAAATTTACATAAGAAAAAAAAAAAAATGTATACAATGATTTACTGTTGAATGCATATAATGTTAACAACATGACACTAAATATCTGCTGATTTGTAAAAAGACAAAATTACACCGATCTGTTATCAGATTCATTTAGAAAAATCTTTCACTTCAGTGGTTGGCAAATTGTTAAAACCAGGATTCAGGCTTCAAATTAACAGACATTTAAACTTTCATAAGACTAGGACATCTTGAATTAGCTGAACAAACGTGATCAAAAAAAAAAAAAAGGTTTAAACTAGATAATAAAGCATTGTTTTTGTTGCTGTTTTTTTTTTTTTTAGAATAATAATGTATGCCTGTTACTGTCTTTATTATACCACTTTTGCAGTGTAGGTAGGGGGGTCTTTTAGCCCAAGGATTTACGGCCGCATGGCTAGTGCTGTCGTCACGACTGTGCAGGTGAGGATTTTATTTTGCCCCCCCCCCCCCCCAAGCCTTAACTGAGGATTCAAACCCGGGTCTCTTGCTTGAGAGCCTAGCATTCTAGCCGTTCGGCCATCTGCTCCTCATAATGATGTTTACAGATGGCAAAATTTTACTGACACATTATTAAACAATTGCAATGATGAAACAGGACACAGTTAGTTAGTTAAGGTTCCAACATCACTTCAGATGGGTCGCCCCACAAATGCTTCATTGCTGTGCCAGTGGAAATCACACAAAATATCCTTCACTTTCCTATTTGAAATACAGTGAAAAACTTGTCAGCCCTAGCAAAATTTGTAAGCTTGCACACGCAAAGTATAAATGCGTAAGGCAGCTGTTAGATGTGCCAACACAAACGGTTTAACACAAGAATTAAAGCTAAATATTGCCGCAAATGGTCAATCATAAAAGCTTGGCATTGCACAAAAAATGTACACACCATTATGAACTTAATCAGCCACCCACCATTTTATTTTAGTGCATTCAACAACACGTTTCGCACAAAACAGAAAAGGTAGGTTGGTGCTTTGCTAGAAAGAAAAATCCTCACATCCAAACACCATCCCCAAAAGGAGAGCTTTAGGTTATAATTGTGACCAGGTTATGTGCACCAGATAAAATAGCTTCGCACTGCACAACACAAAAAGCCGTGAGAAGGACTGTAGTGTTGATGCGATCAAAGGAGACAGGCCCAAATACTGTCTTAACCAGGGACAAAGTCGTCTACTGGTGGGCCAATCGGTGACCCAGTTGCGGATACACATCAGAAAAATAGAATCTCCAGCTCACAGTTTCGCACCCAGCCCTCAACTTTGTAGCTGAGTGACAGACATACAAGAATAGGGAAACAGATTTGAAGAATAAGGATAAAGGTGAACTAACACACTTCGTACAGTTATAAAAAGGATAAAGGTAAACTAACACACTCCGTACTGTTATAAGAAGGATAAAGGTAAACTAACACACTCCATACTGTTATAAGAAAGATAAATCTACATTTAAACATTAAAGGAATTAGTGACTCACACACAGTAAGTATTTTTTGTTGATTCATTTTTTTTTGTAGTTGTCTAACAAATGATTTTTTCATCCATAGGTGACTTGACTTCTGAATGGAAATATCCTCACTGAAGCAAACCCAAAAATTCTCCTTCAATGTAACTCAATAATTCCTTAACTATATGGGCTCCACAAGTATTACAAACTCAGAATATCAGCAGGTGAATATATGGATGATAAACCAATATACTTAGCCTTTCAGCAAAACACAAATGATCAGCTGACATTTAAAAAAAAACATGTTTCACATCAATAAACATATAAAATGTACATTTCATCAGACTAGAGAGCTGGTTTTAGCTGAGCAGTCATTTGAAAAGATAACAGAAGCACAAAAAATGTCTGACGAAAATTAGACACAAATCTGCTTTGATGTGTCGTTAAAAATGAAAACCGAACTGAACTGTCTTCTTCTATGACATTCAACCAACATGGTACATATCCAAAAACATAAAAGGAATGGCACAGTTAGATTAAAACAGTTAAACAATTTTGAGAATAGTTTTGATTTCCTCTTGAAGCATGTGTCCTGATGCTGAATCACTTCAATGCTGGAGGGACAGCTTATAAATGATCCGACACAGATGCTGCACTCCGCTTGTAAGCTACTCCTTTGCATGCAGTGGAATGACAAATTTAGACCCAAATGGGGAGACATAGGTGATGCCACATTCTTGGAAGATGGCAGATGGGATACTCAAATCACACAAGTACAAACTGCCACATGCGGAAGACACTTGATTTAGTGGCAACACTTTGTACAAGCTCCACCTGTAAAATAAAACACAACAGTTTGTATATTGTGTTCTATGCAGTCATAATTAAAAAAAAAGAAAAATCACATAATTTCACTGAAAAAAAACTACAAGTATATTGTCCTTTGTTTTTAGAGACCCAAACACATAAGGGAAATAAAAATGCAGTCAGTGACCCATTGTGTGTGTGGAACAGAGCATTAGAACTGCATAGGTGTGTATGTGTGGGCTGCTAAAGTCACTGACTCGTAGCTTGACTGATTGTGCCCGGATCAGAGTATTAGAACTGCATGCGTGTGTATGTGAAGGCTGCTAAAGTCACTGACTTGTAGCTTGACTGCTTGTGCCCAGATCAGAACATTAGAACTGCATAGGTGTGTATGTGTGGGCTGCTAAAGTCACTGACTTGTAGCTTGACTGACTGTGCCCAGATCAAAACATTAGAACTGCATGCGTGTATGTGAAGGCTGCTAAAGTGAACAGACTAGGTCTCATGTTGGTCAAGACCTTTCATCTAGCATGATCTGTCCACAGATGTTCAAGTTCCAAGGATTTTCAAGGATCTCAGCAGATATACAGTTACAGTGCTGGACTTTTTATGCTTGTCTGGTGGTCATCCTGGTCTAAGATGACAAAAGTTGTCTCGAAAAAAGAAAACGACAACTGACATTACCCACAAAATGCCAACTATTCTTTAAAACTTATGGGGCTGGCACCATATGCCCAGTAGCCTCAGGATGTGAAAAGGGGGCCTCTATTGATCAGACAAGCTACTGATTAGAGACCCTGGAAATACAAAGGAGAGTTCCAGATCAGTTTCTGTAGACATAGTATTTTGATATACTCAGCTGGGAGTTCAAAACCTTTTCAGGGCTCTGGCAACTTGTACAGGACTTGAAAATTTAATTCAGTCTTCGAAAGGAATATCAACTTACTTCTTCTTTTTTGTGTTTTCCCTTTAAATGTTGACTTGCCCTAAATATATTCCAGGTAAAAAGTCAAGGAAAGTAAAGGCGGCTGGCATGATATTGACATCACCCCCTGAGTGTCGATTGGTCTATAAATTATAGGTCTAGCCCCACATGCTTGAAGGTTTGGAAAAAGGTACATTAGAGAATTAACATTTTTTTTGGGGGGGGGGGGGGGGGGGGGGTGGGTTAATTTATTTTAAACAACTATTTATTTTTAATGCAAACACATGACTGCCTTTACTTCTTAAAGCCTAACTTGATTTGGTTCTGAAACACAAACGTATACAATATCTACCCTATGAAGAAATAAAGATGGGAACTTTTAAATCCAATTAAATATTATATTTATAATAAACAAACATGTAATTCAATGGTTTGAGGCAAATTCTGTCTGCATTCAATAGTTTGGACTCCAGCTTACGACAGACATGGCTAATCAAGACATTTTTCGGGAGGGTGCCTAGCGGGTCATGCCTCTTAGTACACTTGTTTCTGCAGCAAGGTGATGTCATCATTATGAGATGAAATGTTTGATACCCAGAACAGACACAATAGCTATTGATTTTTGTTGTCTAGTGAGTCCTGCTTATCTTTCTACTTCTTTCCATGAGTGCTAATCAATACATGTTTGTTTGTTTATTATATATTCTGCACTTTGGAGACTTACTTGGCAGGTATGCTTGGACCTTGAGACGGTGGGTCTAATGACAACACCTGAGCCCTAATGTCACTGTTCTTCATCCAGGTGACGATGCTCTGATACCAGGGGTGCTGAGTGTTCACTAGACTTGAATGGGAGTCCATTGCCGTCACAATTAAATCGATGGTGTCTGGGAGTCCTAGGACAAACAAAGTCACCAAATGCATCTTATGATCTTTATGGACAAAAACCCCATTACAAAATTGTGTTTTTGACGGTGACAATAGTTTGATATAATTTCATCAAAATGTTGTTTGCTACAATAAAAAAAAATTTTTTTTAAACTGGTAACATTAAAGTTTGTTCAACACAGCAGTATTGCTTCCGCCTTTAGATACAGCATATTTATGTATACAACTAGGTAGAGAAAGTGTATGCAACTGTGCCAAACAATAAATAAAATCAGACTTTACTGCAAAATAATTAATGACTACAAATGAATGAATTAGGAGTACAATAAAACAAACACACCAAATACACCTACATATTTTCAAAAATAAAACAATGAAAACAGCAACTTAGACAAATAATAGCTAAAGGTTGGTTCAAGGTAATCTCCTCAAATAGAGTAGGTCACTTTTCATTCACAAGTTTTTTTGGGCTGGTCAACTTTTCTGAAGGTTACGGGTGTGTCTCGCTCAGTTGTTTGCTTTCTGTGATGTCATGCATTTATGTTTTCATTGCCAAAAAGAGATTGCTTGTGACACAGGTTGCAGCATTCTCTAGGGAGTTGTATTAGGACCAGTTTCTCCAAGGGTTTTGGGATGTTAAAAGCGCTGGTGTGCTGAAATATACAACACGCGATATCAAGGGCATAGTGGAACACCCCACAAACCTGGTGCCAAGGTTTAGGACTACCAATCAGAAGTGAGCTAGTGTGTATATGGGTGGGGCATGGGCAGAGAAAGGTTACTTTTACCTAGCTAACCATTTAGCTATCCAACAAAATACAACCATGAATGAATTTCACTTCAAATATTTAAAAGGGCCATATTTTTCTTTTCCGTTAGAATATTAGCTCTAAATAAATTCAACTGCAATGTGGCTGGCACTGTGGTGAAGCAGCTAAACACTCGCATGTGAATCCAAAGGTCATGGGTTCAAATCTAATCATAGCCAGAAGTTTTTGAAAAATGACCTTGGCTCCCAGTTCAACAGAGCCTTCAACAGGTACCAGCTGTGTAAACAGGTACCAGCTGTGTAAACAGGTACCAGCTGTGTAAACAGGTACCAGCTGTGTAAGCAGGTACCAGCTGTGTAAGCAGGTACCAGCTGTGTAAACAGGTACCAGCTGTGTAAACAGGTACCAGCTGTGTAAACAGGTACCAGCTGTGTAAACAGGTACCAGCTGTGTAAAGAGGTACCAGCTGTGTAAACAGGTACCAACTGTGTAAACAGGTACCAGCTGTGTAAACAGGTACCAGCTGTGTAAACAGGTACCAGCTGTGTAAACAGGTACCAGCTGTGTAAACAGGTACCAGCTGTGTAAACAGGTACCAGCTGTGTAAACAGGTACCAGCAGTGTAAACAGGTACCAGCTGTGTAAACAGGTACCATGTATATACCAGGGAAGTGAAGGTGGCTGGTATGATGCCATATACATCACCCACTGAGGGCTGGCTGGTCTATAAAATATAAGTCTAGCACAAGACGCCCAGCATGCATAAAGGTGTGGCAAAAGGGCCCTTTTAAACTGCACATGTTGTTTACAAGCACAGACATGCTGAGCTTACCTCCAACAGTATGAACCAAACTGTTGCCTATGAGTTTGTAGAGTTCAATTTCTTGTGAAAGACTAGTGGGGATAGCTGCAGAGTTTGGCACCAGGAGAGTTACTTGAACTCCATGTGATGAAAGAATGCGGGCGCAACATGCTCCAAGGGCCCCATGTTCATGAGGTCCACACAGGATCACCACTGCAGGCATCTGATGTCCATTCTTTGGGTGGATCCTGGTCATATGAAGATATATAATTACAAGTTCACATAAATCTACAGATCAAGTACAAGATGGAAGGTAAATAATGTGTGAAAATACTGTTTCCCTGAAAATAATACCAGCTCGTATATGACTTTTTTTATCACCAACAATAACCCACTGTAGCCACATCTTCCTGTATAATGTCATCTAATTCAACGACCCTCTGGGCTAGATCTTTCTGTAAGCTGTCAGTCATCTAATTCAACAACTGACTGGGCTAGATCTTTCTGTAAGCTGTCAGTCATCTAATTCAACAATCTACTGGGCTAGATCTTTCTGTAAGCTGTCAGTCATCTAATTCAACAATCTACTGGGCTAGATGTTTCTGTAAGCTGTCAGTCATCTAATTCAACAACTGACTGGGCTAGATCTTTCTGTAAGCTGTCAGTCATCTAATTCAACAATCTACTGGGCTAGATGTTTCTGTAAGCTGTCAGTCATCTAATTCAACAACTGACTGGGCTAGATGTTTCTGTAAGCTGTCAGTCATCTAATTCAACAATCTACTGGGCTAGATGTTTCTGTAAGCTGTCAGTCATCTAATTCAACAACTGACTGGGCTAGATCTTTCTGTAAGCTGTCAGTCATCTAATTCAACAACTGACTGGGCTAGATCTTTCTGTAAGCTGTCAGTCATCTAATTCAACAATCTACTGGGCTAGATGTTTCTGTAAGCTGTCAGTCATCTAATTCAACAATCTACTGGGCTAGATCTTTCTGTAAGCTGTCAGTCATCTAATTCAACAATCTACTGGGCTAGATGTTTCTGTAAGCTGTCAGTCATCTAATTCAACAATCTACTGGGTTAGATCTTTCTGTAAGCTGTCAGTCATCTAATTCAACAATCTACTGGGCTAGATGTTTCTGTAAGCTGTCAGTCATCTAATTCAACAATCTACTGGGCTATATCTTTCTGTAAGCTGTCAGTCATCTAATTCAACAATCTACTGGGCTAGATCTTTCTGTAAGCTGTCAGTCATCTAATTCAACAATCTACTGGGCTAGATCTTTCTGTAAGCTGTCAGTCATCTAATTCAACAATCTACTGGGCTAGATCTTTCTGTAAGCTGTCAGTCATCTAATTCAACAATCTACTGGGCTAGATCTTTCTGTAAGCTGTCAGTCATCTAATTCAACAATCTACTGGGCTAGATGTTTCTGTAAGCTGTCAGTCATCTAATTCAACAACTGACTGGGCTAGATCTTTCTGTAAGCTGTCAGTCATCTAATTCAACAATCTACTGGGCTAGATGTTTCTGTAAGCTGTCAGTCATCTAATTCAACAACTGACTGGGCTAGATCTTTCTGTAAGCTGTCAGTCATCTAATTCAACAACTGACTGGGCTAGATCTTTCTGTAAGCTGTCAGTCATCTAATTCAACAAATCTACTGGGCTAGATGTTTTCTGTAAGCTGTCAGTCATCTAATTCAACAATCTACTGGGCTAGATCTTTCTGTAAGCTGTCAGTCATCTAATTCAACAATCTACTGGGCTAGATGTTTCTGTAAGCTGTCAGTCATCTAATTCAACAATCTACTGGGTTAGATCTTTCTGTAAGCTGTCAGTCATCTAATTCAACAATCTACTGGGTTAGATCTTTCTATAAGCTGTCAGTCATCTAATTCAACAATCTACTGGGCTAGATGTTTCTGTAAGCTGTCAGTCATCTAATTCAACAATCTACTGGGCTATATCTTTCTGTAAGCTGTCAGTCATCTAATTCAACAATCTACTGGGCTAGATGTTTCTGTAAGCTGTCAGTCATCTAATTCAACAACTGACTAGGCTAGATCTTTCTGTAAGCTGTCAGTCATCTAATTCAACAATCTACTGGGTTAGATGTTTCTGTAAGCTGTCAGTCATCTAATTCAACAACTGACTAGGCTAGATCTTTCTGTAAGCTGTCAGTCATCTAATTCAACAATCTACTGATGCAATATCATCCTGCAGTGTCACCTAATTCAACAAACAACCAATGCTAATTTTTCCCATACACTGGCACATAATTTAACAACCTACAAGCTAAATCTTCCCATACACTGGTACATCATTTAACAACCTACATGTTAAATCTTCCCATACACTGGTACATCATTTAACAACCTACATGTTAAATCTTCCCATACACTGGCACATAATTTAACAACCTACATGCTAAATCTTCCCACACGCTGGCCCATCATTTAACAACCTACAAGCTAAATTTTAATGTACACTGTCACATAATTTAAAAACCAACATGCTAAAATCTTCCTTAAGACATCATGTAATTTAACAGCCTACATGCTAAATCTTCCTATCTTTATCCAGACTGTCATTTAATACAACAACTTCTGCAAGGTAAATCTTCCTGCCTAATGCCATTTGTTCAAATTGTAGAGTGAACCTTAACTAACCGAACTCACTATTAACCAAGTTTCCAGTGAAACATCTCACAAAGATCATTATGATGAAAAGAAGTGTAGAAGTTGAAACAGAGAAGACCTCATACAGTGACCAAAAAAACACATGGAGATAGAAGCAAGTAAATGAAATTTAAAAAGATGGGGAGGTGTGGGGTGTGCTGCATGTCACAGCAAAGAATAAGAGGACTGTGCATGAACTGGATGGCTTATGCTCTTTTAGGGAAATAAATGAATGAAATAATGAGGGGGCGGAGGAGGAGGAAAAGCAGAAGAAGAAGAAGAAGCAGAAGAAGAAGAAGAAGAAGAAGAAGAAGAAGAAGAAGAAGAAGAAGAAGAAGAAGAAGAAGTGCATGTGTGTATAAATGATAAAGATTTTGATTCAGAGATTGTAAATGTACCTGTGACTGCCGCCTATCAAATGAATAACCATTTCACTTGCAGCTCTTCCGTAAGACTCCAACTGCCTGACATGTGAAAGACCATGCTGTGAGGCTACTTCACAAACCTTCTCCCGCAGTTCTCGACTGACTGATGGAACCACCAATCCTGTATCTGAATGAGGCAGGACCAAGAGAACCATACAGCAACTGATTACAGAACTAACTCAAAGTCTGAACCAAATCTTCTTCATCGTTTGTTCAAGTGATGTAAATGTCCTGTGCCTGTATACAGCCTAGCTGTGACACACCAACACATCTGACTTCTTCAGGCATCTGTTTCCCGGGTTAGCCTTCCTGGTAAGCCACATTACCTGCACAATTTCACGTGTTTTGGTTTTGTTTTGGGGGTGATATTACTGCAGCTTCCTGTGTTTTACCAGGGCTTTTAGTAGAACAAAAGGTGTTAACACTGTTAACTTTTGTGCATGTCACAAGAAATGATTAATGGGGGAGGGGGGGGGGGCTCATAAGACTGGCTACCTCATCCTATATACATCTTCTACTGCAAAATTCCAACCTACCAAGTTAGCAAAAGGCTAAGCATGAGTTGGTTGAGAGTCTATGCTTCATTAGGAGACAGAAACAGGTCACTGTTTCAAGGCTTTGGAACTTATTGACAATTTAACTGGCAGGTGAACTGTCATTATCTTATAGCTAGTTTTTAGAGCTACCCCGGTTCTATGTGCATTTGCTGTGAGAAATAAAATGATAATTCAACAGCATTTCAAGTTTTTTTAACTGATCCCCTATAAGGCAGCAGATGACTGTCAATACAGCTGTGCTGTATTTTACTTCAGTGTGTCAGAAACCAACAGCAAATCATCTGCATCAAGTGGTAACTACTTGCTGCAGTCACCATTTTGTTGACTAAACAAATTCCATTTGTTTTAAAACCTAACCAAGAGATCAGAATCATCAATTACAACTAGGTATTTCGTAGGATATAGACTACAATACAAGCAACAGTTGTATTTAGTGTAATTAATCAAGACAGATTACACTGGATCTGACTTTATCCTGTTGCCCTGGAAACCCTTTGGGAAAACAGGCAACGAATCTAAGGAAAAATCTTTTTTTTTTTTAAAAGAAAAATGTACACGAGTCACTAAAAGAATTTTTCATTTATTCATTTACATCTTAATTTTTTCTTCAAACTATATGAAGGGGAGTTGAGCTGAGTTAAAAACATCACAGCACTTGGGGCATTCCCATGTGAGCTACGTACGTCCTCATCTTCAACAGCAAGCACAGAGTTTCAATACCAATGGTATGAAGGGGAAAAATCAATAAACACAAAGGGAGTGAAGAATTAAATGAATTACATTTCACTGGGTTTCCTCATATTCTGACCCTTTCAGTATGTTACCACTAAGGTTAGGGTCAATTATGATGTCATAATGGTATTTTTTTTTTTAAAGTAATTTATTTCACAATAATTATATTGTCTGTCAACATCATCATATTTGGGATTCCTAGACATTGTGTAGGCACAAACAAAATCAAAGATGTTAACTAGGTTTCTTGGGAACAGGCCAATGCAACAGGTTTTGCTGCATTCACTGAGAATTGGAGAGATGCTGGATTCGTAGGATTATGTCCCACCCCTTCCCAAATCTCATAAAGATTTAATATAATATATGTAAAGTCTCTAGTATAGTAAAACCCACTTGAGTAATGCTTATTGTTAGATTATTATCATTTTTTTTTTAACTTTCATCAGGGCAATGAGTGTGACAAGATCTTACATTATAGGGTACAAGTACAAGAGTGCAAAGTCTTACTGTCCTCTACATTACAGGTAACACAAGTATAAGATGGCAAGATCTTACTAATTTCTACATCCTGTTGAAGAAATAGGAAAGGTGAGCTTCCTATATAAAGTTGTTCTAGCCATGGTAATAATCTTTACTGCCTATAGCTATATGATAACTGTAAAAGAGCTAAGTAACATAGGCTTCACTTAACTGCACAAACACATACATACATCTTGTAGAGACTCACCTGTGTAATATAACTGGAATTTGGTCCCGGGAACTTTTATCTGTTGTTTCATAACTACCGGGGCCGAATTGTTTTCTCCTGGCTGCAGAATATTTTCATCATGACGATACTTTTTTTCCCTGAAGCCAGGTTCTAAATTAAGCTCAGGAAAGTCAGTCTCAATCTCTCGGAAGACAGCTTTCTTATTGAACATTGCAAGATTTGATTCAAAGTCAAATTCCTGCAGAAATGATTCAGCTGGGGCACTGAAACACTCATTGTTTTTTGCATTAGCTCCCCTTCTTCCACCTCTCTCCATTTTCTTTGCTGCTGTGATCTTTTGCGTTGACTGGTCTGTCGGATAACTAAACCCATTTCGGGGTTTTACACTGCTTTCATCGCCTGTAAACACAAACCCATTTTGGGCTTTCCACTGCTCTTCATCATCTGCAAACACAATCTTTGCATTAATATTTCACAAGAACATGATCACAAAACTAAAACAATATATTTACAAAACCTTCATGATACTACTGACAATCTTCTTCTTCTTCAGCATTCCGAGTCCTTGAGGTTCACTGCTGCAGATTTCACCCGCCTACATTTATCTCTCTGGTTGGCCTTCTCTTTGCAGTTGATGACACCAAGTGTTGCAGGTCTGTCTGGATGTTATCTCTCCATCGTCTTCTTGGTCTGCCTCGTAGTCTACGAAGATTAATCTACCTTGTGTATACAACACTATTGACAATGCCTATCATAAACATATATTATGCACCAGCAATTAAAAGTAATGCAAATTCACCAAATATTTGGCTTGACCAACTGCTGAAAACATCAACACAACAATAACATAAAATAATAAATATGCCCTTCAACAGGGCCACACATAAAACCAAACAACCATATAAAAACCATCTTATCTGTGGCAAAATATTCATCCCGTGCATTCTGATGTTAGCATCCTTACATACCAACACTTCCGAACATGCTCAAAGATAAAGGTATATAGACATTTCTTACAAAGACAGTCATCCATATAACACCATGCTACAGGGTGAAAATGGAAGCAGAGTCACCAACTCACAGAATATGCATGGAAAATGGAAATAATATGCTATACTAAGAATGGCTTGCATCATTTGGTGGGATATGCAAAGCAATCATACCTAATGAGACTGATTAGGCTGGCAAAAAGCAGAGAATCTGGACAGTACTAGACAGGCAGAGAAACAGACAGGCATACTTTTATTTGCACTGGCCAGTCAGCAATGACACTTCTTTTGGGAATATGTCAGCCAAGTGATTTTGTGCATGATTTTTTTGTAACTCTGGTACTGTAAATTAATGTGTTGATGCAGGATATCTAGCCGCAATGTTTGTGTTTGTGATAATGTGAAGCCTGTGGTTCTATTTTTCATTTGCTGGATATCTTTTCATGAGACTTTAAATCAGGTTGCCAGTGTGCACAATCATAATAGGAATCTTTAATGGCTAATGAAGAAAGGAGCCAGAGAACATGTTAGAATACCAATGAAGTCAGCTCTTGATCCAATCACTCATTCAAGAGAAAGAAAATGATTCTTACCATAACCATTCCACTGTTCCACATGCTCTGCTTCATTGTTCACACCTTTATATGCCAGTGATCTGTGTACCACAGATCCCGCCTTTGGATCAAGCAATTTTGACGGGCTGTCTGGGGGAGACAGTCTGCGTCGACAGCTCCCTCTGCCCTGAGCTAATTCTAACTGATTTACAATTGAACCAGATGCATTTGTGGAGCTGAACCCTGTTTTGGCCTTTGAGGTAGCTTTAATTATCTTCACAGGTGATGTACAGGTGGGTTTGGTCACTTCATCAATTTCCTTCGTCATCTTGGAAGGTGTTGCTTTCCTTGTGATAATTTCTTTAGCCTCTTGAGATGCATGAATGATTTTGATGTCGAGAATTGTTGTGGAGCTATGAACAGAAATTAAAATTTAAGCCATAACTCAATATTATTATATCACTCTATTACTTCCAATAAGCTCACGCACTTTAAATATCCTTTTGTGATTAATTTCATGACTTTCCCATTTGACTCAACTGTAACTTAATTAATTATTTGGTCACTTGTTGAGAAAAGAGGAAGTGAAGAATACTGCGACAACTGGAAATATTAGAGGTAGAAGAGAAAGAGATAACCAGATAAATGATGCCAGATGGTCTAAAATGGTGAAACAGAAAAATATTTATACAGAATTGACCCAGAATACCGAGGCCCTAAATCAGGGTTATTTTACTAAGTTTACTCAGGGACCTTCAGCATCTGTGGCCTAGGCATTACGAACACACTTCGTAATGCCGGAGTGCTGGGTTTGATCCGATTGTGGATGGTTTGGCAGCAGAACGTCCAGCACTGGTTCCGACAGGAGTAACGAGAGCAGACCATCAGAAAGCAATGGCAAACTACTGAACACAAAATTTACCTAGAAAAACCACAACAGCCACACAATGGCTGGGGTTGGTTCGGCAACATCCTCTAAAGGATATGGAACTAACCTGTTAACTCTGGAACCAAATTTTGGTCACAGGTGTGAGCCCTAACATAGAGAGATCATTAACACAATCCAGCTGGCAATGATACGTGGGTCACCTGTTGGGCCTCCACAGGCCAGTGGGCTGCCAGATGAACAGCCCTAACCTAGATCTATGCACACATGCAAACCTGCTGCTGGTACCATCAGAATTAGAACTCTGCGCTTGCTGCTAAAGATGGGAACTAAGCGTTTATGGGAATGTACCCAAGCACTGAGATGCTGGTCCTTAACTTTATTCAATGCCCAAATGTAAAAGGGTCTCCTTCCTGATACTTGCCTTCAGCACTTTATTTTATCAATAATTGGTATTCAAGAGATAATAAATGGTATGAGTTCAAATAAAAAAGGGGCAGAAAAAAAAGAAAAATTTGCTGGTATTAACAGTTATAAGAGAATGGAGGTACACTCTCACAGGCTGCATGTTCTCCATCTCTTGATGTTTCCTCCAGTGCGTCTTTTAATATGGCCAAAATACTTCACTTGTTTCCTTTTTATTTCTGCCAGCAACCCTCTTTTCATTCCTAATCTTCTCAGATCAAGTGTATTGGATTTTTTTTTTTACAATCTGAGATAAAGTGCACAAAGAATCATAAAACAAGCACTGAAATAAGAAACAAACTGAGGACTAAGGCAGCGAAGACATCCCTATGATGAACACTGATGAGAGAGTCCAGATGTGTCAGACTGGATTCCATTACAGTATCCAAATTACTGCACAGGACAGAATGGAATCAAGAATTAAATGCAAAACATTTGTCAATCTCATATAAAAATGACTATTTACAAATATGAAATATCCTAACAGACTCTCTCACGGTCGTCCAGGCAATAAGAGACCTAAGCCCAACAAGCAGACACAACATTTAAGATTAGATTTTAGCATGCTTTAAACCTCCGAAACCAGAGCTGCCAGATCCTAATAGCTTGGATACCAGCCCATAAAGTATAGCTGGCATCAAAGTTGTAGACAGAGCTGCAAAGAGGGCAACCAACAGCCATAACAATACTAGTAAACACATGACTAGGCAAGCTGGAAATCAGATAGGATTTGATAAACTACCACAAAACAGGAACAGAACTATGACATACAAAAGTTGCCTACATGTAAACAATGAATAGGAGGTACAAAAACTAGTCTAGCATTATTTATGTACAACAAGCAATGAATCATAACCTCATAAGAGCACTGACATGAGCACCCAGGCCAAGCACAGCCCGTCTGAGAGAAGCATAGCCCATCTAGGGGTAGCGTAGCACATCTGAGGAAAGCATAGTGACAGGGTCCTGGATTCTAGTCTACTATTCACATTGCTGTACTTATCCTTTTTTTTCTTTCTTCCCAATCTGCGTTTTTATTTTGCTACTCTGTTTTGGCATTATCTATTGTAGCTATCATTTTCAAACCTCTCTTCATGTTTGTTGAAATAATTTTTAAAAAAAATACTTCTAAAGAGAATTCAACCCAAAAAAATGGTCATCCTGAAGGGGACAGTGATGTGGCTGATTGGTGGGCCATTGGTGATAGCAGCCTAGACAGGGACCCAACACAGTGATGTGGCTGATTGGTGTGCCATTGGTGATAGCTGTCTGGACAGGGACCCAACACAGTGATGTGGCTGATTGGTGGGCCATTGGTGATAGCAGCCTAGACAGGGACCCAACACAGTGATGTGGCTGATTGGTGTGCCATTGGTGATAGCTGTCTGGACAGGGACCCAACACAGTGATGTGGCTGATTGGTGTGCCATTGGTGATAGCTGTCTGGACAGGGACTCAACACAGTGATGTGGCTGATTGGTGTGCCATTGGTGATAGCTGTCTGGACAGGGACCCAACACAGTGATGTGGCTGATTGGTGGGCCATTGGTGATAGCAGCCTGGACAGGGACCCAACACCGTGATGTGGCTGATTGGTGGGCCATTGGTGACAGCAGCCTGGACAAGGACCCAACACCGTGATGTGGCTGATTGGTGGGCCATTGGTGATAGCAGCCTGGACAAGGACCCAACACCGTGATGTGGCTGATTGGTGGGCCATTGGTGACAGCAGCCTGGACAAGGACCCAACACCGTGATGTGGGTGATTGGTGGGCCATTGGTGACAGCAGCCTGGACAAGGACCCAACACAGTGATGTGGCTGATTGGTGTGCCACTGGTGATAGCTGTCTGGACAGGGACCCAACACAGTGATGTGGCTGATTGATGGGCCATTGGTGATAGCTGTCTGGACAGGGACTCAACACAGTGATGTGGCTGATTGGTGGGCCATTGGTGATAGCTGTCTGGACAGGGACCCAACACAGTGATGTGGCTGATTGGTGTGCCATTGGTGATAGCTGTCTGGACAGGGACCCAACACAGTGATGTGGCTGATTGGTGTGCCATTGGTGACAGCAGCTTAGACAGGGACCCAACCCAGTGATGTGGCTGATTGGTGGGCCATTGGTGATAGCTGTCTGGACAGGGACCCAACACAGTGATGTGGCTGATTGGTGTGCCATTGGTGATAGCTGTCTGGACAGGGACTCAACACAGTGATGTGGCTGATTGTGCCATTGGTGATAGCTGTCTGGACATGGACCCAACACAGTGATGTGGCTGATTGGTGGGCCATTGGTGATAGCTGTCTGGACAGGGACCCAACACAGTGATGTGGCTGATTGGTGTGCCATTGGTGATAGCTGTCTGGACAGGGACTCAACACAGTGATGTGGCTGATTGGTGGGCCATTGGTGATAGCTGTCTGGACAGGGACTCAACACAGTGATGTGGCTGATTGGTGTGCCACTGGTGATAGCTGTCTGGACAGGGACCCAACACAGTGATGTGGCTGATTGGTGTGCCATTGGTGATAGCTGTCTGGACAGGGACCCAACACAGTGAAGTGGCTGATTGGTGGGCCATTGATGATAGCAGCCTGGACAGGGACACAACACAGTGTGACAGCAGCTCCATCATGGTAACAAATAATCATTACGTCAAGAACCACTGAAAACTGATATCCACACTGAAGATTAATGATGAAGATGACCTACAGGGAACCGTGAAGACTGTTAGCACAAAGTGGAATCTAGCCTTTATTATAACCAACCTAGCACAGCAATGGAGTACCTTACCAGTCCGAACCTCTATAGGAATGGACAGTATGAAAACAAAAACAATACAAACAATCGCCATAAAAGAAACAAAAGAAGATATAATGCTCACCCCAAAAAAAATTGAATGACCATAAATATAACTGAAGCTTGTTTAGAAGCAGGCTGAACCTGATTAAAGCACAGCACACCCCCCCCCCCCCCACCCCCCTCCACCCCACCTTTTCCAAGAACAAATAGGAACTATGTACCAACCTTAGATTGACTACTGACAAGTCACTACGAAGTCCATTGTGAAATGCGTGGGAAATGGTCAGTGTGTTCATCACTGGGTCTATTTTTTCAACACGACCTTGGTATGTGCCAAGCTCACCACAGTCTATGGACACCATTGACCCAATAAACTCTGACGGCATTTTTATACCTGCCATAAAACAAAAATGTTAAGATTCAGTCTCATTTTATTATTTAACACAACTATTTAACACTTTTATTTCCCAGGTAGATTTGTCCAAATACCAAATGTAAATCTCTGTGTCTTTTACTGCACAATTTGTCACTTATTCTACTTTTTTATTCTTCTGCTTCTTTTTCATCAGCTTTTTGTTTTCTATGTAAGTGAATTGTGCCTGTTCATCTGCACCTTTTGGCTGACTCGTTTGTTTACCTGTATTTCAAATGCGATAGTGAGGGACATTTAATTTGATTTGCACTGGCACAGCAATGGAGCAAGTATGGGACTGGACATATGGGGAAACCCGATTGAAGAGAAGTTGAAATCTCAACTAGGACCAAGTTATCTGACTTTGAATGTTTTCTGGGTTTAACCTTCCTGACTAGTTTTATGGCCCAACCTTACTGTTGAGGTGGTGCCTCCTTGTATGCTGGTCAGCCCTCAAGGGAGGAGGCTTAAATAAATACAGATCCAATATTCTGGGGCTCTGGTCACACCTGAGTGATGATTTTTTTTCAGTCATTGGCAATGACCTGCAAAACTTCAGGTCTTTTCTAAGTTCAGCAGCAACTGTAAGGAATCAACATGTCCTGTACATGACAACTTAGTCTTACTTCCATATATTTTTATTCTTCTAATGATAATTAATAGAGCCAGATAAAAGATGAAGACTTTTCTCTTATGTTTATAAGTAGTTTTTTTTTTTTTTTTTTTTTTTTTCACCCTCATTCAAACATTTGTATTAATAATTTGGATGCCCCAAGTAATTTTAAAGTCCTCTGTACAACCAGGTCATATCTTCTTCTTCTTCTTCTTCTTCTTCGATCCTTCTGTCAGAAAACTTATATAAGGAGGCTGGTAGCCTTTATGAAAGCTATCGCGCAATCCAAATCCTCTCGTGTACCATACAGTTTTGTCTTCAGTATGGTTGGAACAGGCCAGATTGCGTCTCTGTGGTCAGCATACAGTTGACAGTGTTGGAGCACATGCTCAGCATTTTCGGGTGCCACGCTGCAGGGACACGTCTCCGTATTTCCTACACCGAAAAATTTGAACATATGTTGATGAAATCTGTTGTGCCCAGTCCTTAGTCTGAATATGATACACTGTCCCTCTCTAGAGAGGCGATGAAGTGAGTCTTGGGGAGAAAATCTTTTGTGGGTATCCAGCCACCTTTCTTGGATACTAGATTGTTTAATGTTTTCATCTCTTGGTGGGTTAAGTGGCTATTTGATTGTACCATGTCACTGCTGCTTTTGGCCAATCTGTCCTCTATTTCATTGCCTTCCAAGCCACAGTGACCTGGAATCCACTGCAGTACAGATTGTTCTACTGAAGAGCCTAAGTAAATCAGCTGTTGCGTCAAGTCTACAAACTGAGTGTCTTTTGGGTTAACAATTGCTTGTAGAACTGACATAGCATCAGTCAGAATGACCACTCTGCTATATTTGCTGTGCTGTTTGTTGTCCATTCAGGAAAGAACATGCCGCAAGAAGTGCTTCTGCCTCTGCTCTGTAATTGGAGGAATATGAACCTGTTGGTACAGCCTGGTTGATTTTTAAATCATTTGGGCATTCTATGCTTGTGTTGCTTGTAGTACACAGTGAATATTGTTATCTAGTATGTGCCTTTATTTTTTATAGGTACTTTGTGTGCCGTTAGTGAATTATCAAAACTAATGTTTAAATTAGTGTTTACTTAAAATAAAAAACCAGTGAGTACAGCTGGATAGCAGTTCAAAATCTCTTTCCAATTATGATAATTATTATCCAACAACTGTGTGGGCTATCTTCCGAATAACGGTCCCAAATTATGGAGGCAGAAAATATACCCTAATAGAGCATCAGTCACGTGTCAACTGCGCACTTCCGGCAACTTAAATTACGCATTTCCAGCGACTTGCATCACCGTCGAGAGTATTCCCCCAAGCCGCTAATGAGGCGTGGATCAGGGCTAAACTAGATGGCTGGGACTCACGAGCAGAGCTACCGCATTTCCTGCAGCTGCCTTAATTTTATTTGTTTGTGAGCCCCAGCCATCTAGTTTAGCCCCAATCCACGCTGCGTGAACGGTGTGGGGGATACTTTCGGCGGTGGCGGTATAGTCCCAGGAAGTACGCAATTCAGCGGTGGTGGTCTAGTCCCTGGAAGTGCGCAATAAACACGTGACTGAGGCTCTGTTAGAGTGTCTTTTCTGCCTCAATAATTTGGGACAGTTATTCGGAAGATAGCCATTGTGAGTAAGTGCTTTGATTCTAAGCTGAGATATCAAGGTTTATGTGTAAAGTTCTACAAATATAAGGAATATAGAAAAAGCAAGCTAAAGCTATGTAAATTTCCCACTTAGTCATGACTCATTTCTCGTAGTAATATGTTAGTCTGTACCGAACTGTGTGTGTGTGTATATTATATATATATATATATATATATATATATATATATATATATGTGTGTGTGTGTGTGTGTGTATATATATATATAAATGTGTGTGTGTGTATATATATATATATATATATATATATATATATATATAAATGTGTGTGTGTGTATATATATAATATATATAATATATATATATATATATATATATATATATATATATATATACTTCAACTTGACCACCGACTGCTCTCCCTTTAATTGCAGATTTATTAATTAAGCATTTTTTGCTTCTTTGACATTATCATTACTTCTGAATTCTAGTTAGTCAAGCAGGGGCCACTTTTACATTATATAACCACTGTGCGTGCGTCTGTCATTTTCTATGATTCCTTCTGGTGGGAAAAAAAAAGTCATCGGCATCTCAGTCAGCAAGAAACAAAGTCAAAGCATAGTAGCAGCAATGGTTTTAAACTGTAGTGTTACAAGGATGATAAACAAAATATATAGTTTCACAATCAGATATTTTAGACAATAAGTGTGAATCGTTGTACGCTACCTTAATAATGTGCCACGAACATAAACAGGTAAATAATTAACAAAGAATGTTGCTGTCTTCAAAGTGTTTGGAACTAACCAGACGACATGAAGTTCACTGATATTATCTACAGCTGTGAAACTTTAACCTCAGAGAAACGGAACAAACAAAAATGTGTGTTAATATTGTCTTGTCAGGTTTCTTTTTATGTTACTAAAAATATAACATATATAATTAATCAATATTTTAAAAATACGTTTACGTGTTTAATGATGCAAATGTGGTATAAAAATTAGTTTAAATTTTATTTTCTTAATTACAAGCATCAGTTCATTTTAAAAGCAATTTTCTAATCAAGAACAGTAACTAGAAGATTACCTTTACATAGGTTGTTTCCCCTGCGTCTTTGATGTCAACACTTAATTTTGTGAATACAGTACGACGTGTTTATTATATTTGTTTGCAAACATATCCAGATACTTTAATTTTATACGACCACATTTCGTCGGTTTCAAAATTTTGTAGGCAATTCCTAACTATCTGTAGGGGTTTTCTAGACAGAACCATTTAATTGATGGGGGAAGGGGAAGTGGGGTATGGTTAGGGCTAGTGTTTAATGCATAGTGACTACTACTAAGCCTAGCCCTTTTCCTCTTATACTATGGGACGTTTTAGGGATTTCACTATGAAATGTCAATTAAAGTACCCAGATCAAAATTAAATTCTTATAATTTAATTGCATGAATATTTTGTTACTGAAAAATATGATGCATTTTCATTAAGACCAGAGCTGTTAATTAACCGTCATGATTTACTATTTATTAATTCCTTCTTGGGATTGAATTTTTCGTTTTTTGAAGCCTTACTCTGGCTCTTTTCAGGGGTCGCAATATAGCCAGGCCATAAATATGGTCTAATGTCTAAACGCGGTTTCTGGGACTTCTCCACGGGTGGTCTTCATCCACATGGTGGCACTTTGTGTCATCTGGTGTTTATCGCTTGTGTGATGTCCTGGTGGGGTAAAAGAAGATAGATAGATAGATAACCGTCATCACTACAGAGCTATACGCCAAATGAGTCGTGTGACTAAGACATTCCTACAAGAATTCAAAATAAAATAGAGAATGAAATTCTTGAAAAGCAGTTTGAGCGCCTCAAAGCCATACTCGGAGGCTGCTGTAGTTTTGCGACCAGACACTATGTCTATGTTTGATATCAATGGTTTTCAACCTTTTTTAGCCCCCCCCCCCCCCCCCCCCTTTAACTTTAGTATATGACAAGGCCCTCAGACCCTCGCCCGCTCCCAACTTTATAAACTTGTAACTGAAAAGATAAAGACAAAAAGAGGCGACATAGAAAGTATGTTCCAGTCTATAATAAATGTATGTAGTATAATATTATTTTTTTAATGGTAGTATTACATGAACTACACTCTTTCAAAATTGCTTGACCCTCTTGAGACATGTTTGCACCTCCATGTTGAAAACTATGGAGTATATGAGGTTAGATTCAAATGTTCATTGGCCATTGGCTCTGTGTGTGGGTTGCATTGCACCAATTTGAGGGAGGGGCTGGAAAGACCCGCTGTCCCTTAACAAGAGTATTGTACAATTCGACTGATTATGGGAGATTTCTTCTAAGTTGAAGTAAATATGACTTCATATAACATATGTATAAACCATGTCTATAAAAACAGATGTGTACACAAATAAGAGAATTAATCAAGTAACAGAAAGTGTATTGATCAAAACTCATAGAAAGAAGTAGATAGATAGAAGAACACACTAGACAACTTAAAAATCGAAAGTTATAGTTACCGACACAAATAAGAGAGGGTTTAGACTGCCGTAATTCTGAAAACTCAACAACCCCCTCTTAGAAAACACATTACACAACCACAAGGCATCCAGAATTCGGACATAGTCTGCACCGAATGGCGAACACCACAACCAGATTGAACTAATACTAGTCCAAAACAGGTTTTAAATCTGTGATAAACAAAGCGAACAGAAGAAGCTTTACAGAAGCTGATATAGGTAGTGAACACAATATGGCGCTGTTAAATTTCAAAATTCACCTGAAACGTATAAATCGTACGAAGGCCATTCTACTGAAATCTGGCACAGTCAAACTAAACGATCCAGTGGCGCGGAAAGATTCAGACAGTATTGCAGGAAAGTTTTCTCCATTGATTTCTAACAGGGACGGCGTAGAAAAACTAACAAAGAATTCACAAAAATATTGAATGAGACAGCACGAGCAACAGTGAGCATATACCAAAATCAAAACAGCAATGGGTCGCACAAGAAATTCTCAACATGTGGAATAACGAAGACAGCTAAAAAGAAAATAGACAAGCATAATCCTCAACTAGCAGACAAGAAAAGAGAGATACATTTTCAAATTAGAAAAGGCATGCGAGAAGTAAAAGATAATAACTGTGAAAAATATAAAAATTTAACAGGTTGAACAATAGCAGAAAAGCTTTTATCAGTATTCAAAACATTAACCGAGAGAGAAATCAAGAAGCACCACCGTTCAAGATACAGAGGGTAACCTGCTCACAGAAGGAACTGACATCCTAAATACTAGATGGTCTCAATCCTG